GCAGGCGGGTGGCAGCCTGCCCGGGGCTGCCGCCGTGGGCTGGGGAGTCGGTGCCCGAGGCCGCCAGCAGCGCGGTCAGGCTGTTACTCTTTCAATTCTCACAGCAACCTGGACAAGTAGAAACTCACATCAAATTCCTCAACATATTCAGTATCTGAGAAATGAAGTCAGCTCTCCAATTTTACACCACAAAGTGTCAGATTCCAGAGCTGGATTTTAACCCATTGTTTTCTTTAGCGTCGGGCACAGTTTCTACCACTGATGTGCAGCCCTTACTGGAGCTGGTACAGTCTGAGGACCTGGGTGTCTCAGCTGAAGCTCCGGTTTCCATGGCTGCAGTTATGCATTTCCTCCCATTCTCTTTACACCCTTGGCCTCACCTTGTTCAGGGCAATGCTGTGATTTCTCAGCTGCAGTGGTTTTTCCAGGGGATCCTGCTTTCAGAGGGAGCTGCTGTTTGTCTGCTTCCCTTTGATCCCAGAACAGAGTTTGACCCACATGAGACCTTGGTAATTTGGTCTGGTCCCTGTACCTTCACACACGTTGGGTGTTATGCTGTCACCCCATCCACTGAGATGAATTTCTTGCCTCAGTTTGACCTTCAAATGATATTCCTACGTGCCACTGACATTCACCTTGCAGGAGTAGATACAATTGGACATGAATTTGGAGACCTGATATTCCCAAGTGATCCTAGAGTCCTGGATGAACCTGTCTCATTGGACGAGTGCTCACATCATTCATGCTAGTACCTACTGGTGATGTGATTCTGTCCTCTGTATGCCTACTGGCTAAATTAGACAATGGCTCTTCAGCCCAGGTCATGTTCTGGACTCAAGTCCTCCTTCCCAGTCTCCTGTGTCTGCGCCATGCATCTCTGGGTTGGAACAGAGTCCTTTTGAGTACAGTTCGTCACCACAGTGCACAGCACACTGGGCCACAAAGGAGTTCCTTACTGTGCTTTTCCTCACCATCTACCCTAACTGACTATCCACACACAACATTTTCTGACTGTTGGTGAAGGTGGCTTTTCAGATGATGGCCTTTGCCATTTTGTTCAGTTACTTCACTGCAGAAACACTCACCTAATTCCATTAGAAGGAATGGACTTCATATAAAGCTGCACCCAGAAATTTATTTTGAAGGAAAGACTACATTAGCCGTGTGTACACAGATGTGAGGAAATCCAGGCTTGTTTATCTTCTGTGGAGCAGTCATTGTCATTGATTATGATCAAGAGGTTCTTGGTGTCAAGTATCTCTGAGGTGTGACAACAGCAAGGAAGAGGGATAGCAAGAATGTAGCCTTGAAAATATCTTGTTCAGCAGTTTGAATAGAGGTGTTGTGGAATTAGATGAGACAACAATCTTGGGTGCAGGTGCTTCTCTCATAAATTGTGGAAGGCCACAGCAAAGAAAATGAAGTCCTTTTTCTTATCCTTAAAAATACCTCCACCACATTTAGAACCTAAGGCTTTAGTGACCTGAGGGGTGACTCCTAGGAGACGAAATAAAGGCACACCATCAATACTGAGGGCATTGTGTTCAGCGGGACATCAGCAATGTGTCCCGGAGTTAATAAACCACTCCTTGCATTTTCTCCTCAACCCACAGGTTCTAACTCCCCAGGATGGACAAAAATGATGGCACACAGTAAACCTAGCAAGCTCGGGGAGCCTGACATAGCATAGCCAATCTTGCAAACTCAGAGGCTAAAAGTGCCCACATAGGATGCTTTGAAGTTAAAATTTTCTAAGTAAAAGGTAGTCATTGTGCTGGACTGCATATCTGGTGCTTCAGCCAGATGGGGCATGCTGTGCTCTTTGTTCCTAAAACACATAGATAGGAGGGTACTGACATCAGGCCAGGCCTTGAGATAGGGTCTCATGGCCGCTTCTCAATATGCTGTACTCTCTGTTCCTAAAACACATAGATAGGAAGGTATTGATACGATACAGTGTCGGGAACTAAGGTTTTTGTAACTTTGTGGTTTTTGTAAATAAAAATGCTGTAATTCTTATAGTTCACCCTTTGCAACTGTACTCACTGGCCGGCTTAATAAAGGCTCCTAAATCTTTCATCTGAGTCCCTGGTGGTCTTCTCTGCGGGTCGCCTCATTACAGCCACAGGGGTATTTATGTCCCAGTCAGCGTTGTTGTTGTTGTGTGTGTGTGTCTGTGTGTGTGGTTTTTTAATTTTTTGCAAGGGCCAAATTTTAGCTTATTGAGCCTGTCTGTTGTCTTTTTGCATCAGGGATAACAGACCTTCGGATTTTCAGGGACATTTCTGTTTCACAGAGTCTTACGCACAATCTCTGAACACAGAAGATCACAGAGCCAGTCCTAAGCACAATCTCTGAACACAAGATCACAGAACCCCAATTATTGTTGTGTTAAATACTAACAGTTACCTATCAGATAAACTTAAAAAGAAGTTTATGTCTTTTGTTTTTTACTTTTTATCCAATCTCAGAGATTTTCCTCCTTAGCTCCTGTCCCCAATTTATCACCAGTGAATGTCATGTAACCCATTTTTGTCTTCTTTAGTCTCATGCATAAAAACGTTGCAAAACTGCCATTCTCCCAAGCAATTTATTGTTATTCTGCTTCCTGGAACTGTTACCTGCTTGGGTCACATAAACTTAGAAAAATTCTCCACAAGTTTGGACATTTCTTTCAACATCAGCAAAAGCAATTGACTCATGTGAAGCAGGAGAAAGTTACATGGAGGGGTAACAGCATTTCCAGAGACTCAACTGATTGAACACAGATTAATAAACACAAATTTAGAGCACACTCAGAAGACAGCAAGCGTTTTCCCAATATATTCAGAGAACAGAAGACAAAGCTCAAGGCTCGGGTTACTGTGTGTGTGTGTGTGTGTGTGTATGTGTGTGTTTTTAATCCTTACCTGAGGCTGTTTCCCCCCCCCCTCCGATTTCCTATATGAGTGAGATCAAGTGATACTTGTCGCTCTCTGTGGTTCACTTGGTTGGATGCTTTCCAGGTGCCCCTTTGCTGTCTGTAAAGGTAAAAATTCTTCTTTTGTACTGCTGCAGAGTATTCCATGGTATAAATTTTCCACAGGTTTTTTTTTTTAAGTATTTCACAGAAGAAATGAAAGGAAGAGAGAGAGAGAAACATCAATGATGAGAGAGAATCATTGATTGGCTGCCTCTAGTGCACTCCCTTCTGGGAATGAAGACTGCAATTTGGGCATGTACCCTTATCCTGAAGTAAACCTGGGATCCTTAAGAATGCAGGATGAAGCTCTATCCAATTAAACAAACTGCCTAGAGCTGTATCAAAGCATTTTATTTATTTATTTTTTTAATATATTT